TTTCTGTCTCAGGTTCACTTTCAGAGACTTCATTTTGAGACGAAGATAAGACGGATAACATCCCTATATTTCCTTCGGACACAAGTTGGACAAATTTGACAAGACTTTGGGACCCGTGCAGACCAGAAAACACACCTATATTTTCCTTCTGAGGATAGGTGAGGGAAGGACGAAGTGCCTTGCTCAAGGGCAGCTTAACAATAGCTGCCGAGGAAGAGGAGAGCGGAGGTTTCATCCACTTTGTGAAGACTTCCTCAGACTGACTGCAAACCTGAATCTGTTTTTTTTGCCTCAACTTTAAATTTAAGGGCTTATTTTGAACACATTTGCGACTCTAGAGGAGACTTTTGGACCCTTGCAAATCAGAAAACATACTAATATCTTCCACTGAGGACAAGAGAGGAAAGTGAGGAAGTGCCTTGCTCAAAGGCAGCTGAGGAAGAAGAGGAAGGAACTTTATTTTCCAGGCCTAAATCAGGTAAAGTGTTTTTTCCCGTCTGCTGCGTTTCCTCACCTCCCTAACCCTGTGCAGCAACTCCATGTTTTGGGACTCAAACAACTCTTTTTAGAGCCGTGAAAACCAGACAACACACTTCTATTGTCCTCTGAGGGTAAGGAGAAGGAGAAGAAAGGAGGACGTGCCTTGCTCAAAGGCAGCTTAACAACAGGAGGAGAGCGAAGATTATATCAACTGTTTTAAGGTTTTGCATGAACTAAAATCATAAATCAGGTCCATTTTGTTCCCGTTGTTAACCCTCTGATTGCATCGAACTTTAGATTTCTCTGTCTGAAGTTCAGATCCAGTGACTTCAGTTGGACGAACTTGTGACTAAAGACAAGACTTTGGGACCCGTGAAAACCAGACAACACACTTCTATTGTCCTCTGAGGGTAAGGAGAAGAAAGGAGGACGTGCCTTGCTCAAAGGCAGCTCAGCAACAGGAGGAGAGCGGAGATTTCATCCACTTTTCCCAGAGTTTCTCTTTCCTTGTGAACGCGACCCTAAATCAGGTAAAGTGTGCGTTCACCTTTAACACTGATATTAATCAGATATCAAGCTTTTTATTTTTCTAAAGTCCAAATTTAGCGACTTTAGACTTGAAACTGAAATCATAGATCAGTCAGACTGGTATCCTTTCATTAAACGCTGAATATTGACTGATTTAAAACTACATTCAAAGCACTTTTGTTTAATTAAATGTTCATTTGATTCAGGGAGTGTTACGTTGTGATGTCACTATGTTCCGGATGTAAACAAGGGGAGTCCAATGAGGCGTTTCAGACATTTTCCTCCAAATTGAGTTCAAAACAAGTGCTCCTTAAAACACTTAAATCCTATTGTGGTAGTAATAAGTGTAAGTAAAAAAGTTGGTTTAAAGTGGACCTATCATGCTATATTATAATAATATAGTGTAGGACCATACCTATATAAGGCATATTTATACTTTTCTTTTTCAAAATACCAAACAGATCATGCATTTTAGCCATGCCTCATTTCGCTCAATTTGACAATTTATAGCTCTGTTTGTGCAAGGGCTGATTCAGTGAGAACAGCACCACCTACAGGCCTGGCATATGTACTACAGCGTCTCCAGCGCTTTCGAACGGCAATGGCCGTGGCTGTCTCCTCCTGATTGGTGGAGTTGGCCCAATAGCCGTAGCGCCACCGTCCTGACGTCAGGACAGTGTTCAAATCTGGATCAGTTTTTATCAGATCCGGTGCAGCCCCTTTTTTAGAGATTTGGGTATGGAGGAAAATAGAGAGGGTTGTGTTTTCTGACACTTGGTGAGTTCCCTGGAACACCGGGGACACATATTCATGTAGAAAAGACGTACACAAGTGCATTTTGCATGATAGGTCCCCTTTAAGTAAAAAAATGGAAATTAAAAGGAGAATAATTCAACTACTTTAGTCTTGACTTGTTGTTTTCTTTTGAGTAATGTCTCACGGGTTTATCACGCTGACCTAATGCTCCTGAGGAATAATAATAGTGAAAGTTAAAAATAAGTCTTATTATCAGATGACAAACATCCTCAGGTCTGAGAGTGATGCCAACGACTCAATGTGTATTATTTCTGTTAACAAGCAAAGAGAGAGGGTGTGTGTGTGTGTGTGTGTGTGTGTGTGTGTGTGTGTGTGTGTGTGTGTGTGTGTGTGTGTGTGTGTGTGTGTGTGTGTGTGTGTGTGTGTGTGTGTGTGTGCGTGTGCGTGTGCGTGTTATCGAGACAGGATGCACAACAATGCGTGATGAATAATGTGCACACACACACACACACACACACACACACACACACACACACACACACATTCACCTAGAGGTTAGGCGAAAGTCTATACAAGGAAGTAATATTGTTATTAATGATGCTGGGAGCACTCGTGAAAGACATAAATACACACACACACACACACACACACACACACACACACACACACACACACATTTCTTTCCAAAGCCTTTGGGCATTACAAAAACAGGAAGGGAGGGGCATGTGAGGGATGTTTCATAAATAAGGGACATTTTTCTTTCTCTTAAATTCTCTCGTCATGTGTGTGTGTGTGTGTGTGTGTGTGTGTGTGTGTGTGTGTGTGTGTGTGTGTGTGTGTGTGTGTGTGTGTGTGTGTGTGTGTGTGTGTGTGTGTGTGTGTGTGTGTGTGTCTAGTTTTCCTTCCCGACGGAGGGGAGTGTGTGAACTGAGGCTGAAGCTAAACTAAGACTTGAGCCCAGACATATTTATTAACAGGGTCTGAGAGAGGGTCGCAGGGTCAAAATAATACAGACACACACACACATTTACAGACACACACACACATTTGCTAACCACCATCACACACCAGCCAGCAACAACTACATTATTGCAGTTGTATTAGGTGAATATTAGGATTTGGTACATAGATATACTTAAATTAGTTGGAGATAATTTTCCTGTCTGATAAAAAAAGATTCTAAGAAAAGTCAAAAGTCTGAGAAAAAATTCAAAATCTAAGAAAAAGACAGAATTCTAACTTTTAACTTAGAAAATAAAATCACTTTTGGTCATTTTGCAAAAAGAAAATTCACACGTTGCCCTAATCCTCTTTCATAAATCTAAATAAAAAAAAAAGATTCTCTCTCTTTTTCTCCTGATCCATTTCTATAAAAACCTGTCTGAAAATGAGTTGATCAGATTGTGGCCACTTGATGATGTCATAACGATGTTTTGGCTTGTCAAAAGCCAATCACCAACCAAGGTAACCCCCCACCCCTTATCACCTGAATCTCCTCCTAGAGCACCATTGAGTTCTTTGTAACCAAATCTCTCTCAGAGGGGCGTGGGGAGGGGCTCCTTACTTTCATCTAAAGTAACAGACAGAGAATCAGCACTTTGGAAACAGGGCTGAAACAGAGGGGATTATGGGTAATGCTGCAATTATCTGTTTGGTGTTGGAGACAGGCTCTGGATATATCTGAGACCTGTGATATATTGATGAACAACAGTATAATAGGGGACCTTTAAAACCATGCTCTCTGTTCTTCAGGTGGATCGTGGTCCTGCAGACTGAGCTCTAACCCAGCATGGCAGACTGGAGCTTACTGGGAAACTTCCTGGAGGAAGTACAGGAGCACTCTACCTCTGTTGGCAAGGTTAAAACACACACACACACACACACACACACACACACACACACACACACACACACACACACACACACACACACATGCCAGGCACCAGACTTCCTCTCATAGACATATACAAACCCAAATAAAATATAAATAAATATATATGTTTTCATGTTTTCCTGTTTAATTGTGTGTATCCCAGTTTAGGCTAGTACAGGCTGTTTGTTTACATTGTACAGAAGTCATTTAAAAATGGTCAAATAACAAACATTTTCATACATTTTATGTAACGTCCACTTTAAATGTTCCTAAATAGTTTTAGGAGCAATTTGTACTTTTTTTTTTTAACATATCCACCATCAGATGTACTTTTTTGATCGAAGTACAGGATACAAAATAATTAGCTTTCTGCTAAAAACTGTAAAATGTAAACAACATTTCAGACATTTTAAAAGATTGTTTGAAATATTTCTACAGAAGATCTTCTTAAGTATTGTGATTGTATAACAAGTTATTTGTTTGCATTGTACAACTGCTAAATAAGTTATTTTAAAAAGCAAAAATTATTGTAGATTTTATGTAACTTCCACTTAATACACAAAATAATTGAAATTTTCCAGAAATCCTTTTCATGCAAACTTAATCCACATTTTTATAGCACGTACATCTATTTCCAGGAGCTCCTCCATTATTATCATGATTTCCATCCTACTATGTGATTGTTTCTGAGGGTTTGATATATGTTCTTGGTGTTTTTGACCTCACAGGTGTGGCTGACGGTTCTCTTTATCTTCCGGATCCTGGTGCTGGGCACCGCGGCCGAGTCGTCGTGGGGAGACGAGCAGGAAGACTTTAACTGTGACACCGAGCAGCCGGGCTGCGAGAACGTGTGCTACGACCGAGCGTTCCCCATCGCACACATTCGATACTGGGTAACAACAAGATACCCTTAGTGTGATGATAGCATGTGAGAAAATAATCTCTGTGTCAAACAAACGTTTATGAATCTTACACGTTTAGTTCAGCAGGAATATCTCCACATATTAACACCACTTTATGATTTCTGAATTAAAAAGCTAATGTTGGGCTATAAAGGAACTACAGCACGGTCACATGACTTCACGTCACCACCGCTAAGCTAAAGGTGGCTAATGTTGGTCTATAAAGGAACTACAGCACGGTCACATGACTTCACGTCACCACCGCTAAGCTAAAGGTGGCTAATGTTGGTCTATAAAGGAACTACAGCACGGTCACATGACTTCACGTCACCACCACTAAGCTAAAGGTGGCTAATGTTGGGCTATAAAGGAACTACAGCGCGGTCACATGACTTCACGTCACCACCGCTAAGCTAAAGGAGGCTAATGTTGGGCTATAAAGGAACTACAGCGCGGTCACATGACTTCACGTCACCACCGCTAAGCTAAAGGTGGCTAATGTTGGGCTATAAAGGAGCTACAGCACGGTCATATGACTTCACGTCACCACCGCTAAGCTAAAGGTGGCTAATGTTGGGCTATAAAGGAACTACAGCGCGGTCACATGACTTCACGTCACCACCGCTAAGCTAAAGGTGGCTAATGTTGGGCTATAAAGGAACTACAGCATGGTCACATGACTTCACGTCACCCACCGCTAAGCTAAAGGAGGCTAATGTTGGGTTATAAAGGAACTACAGCACGGTCACATGACTTCACGTCACCACCGCTAAGCTAAAGGTGGCTAATGTTGGGCTATAAAGGAACTACAGCTTGAACTTGCACCAGCATTGCTATATTGAATGTTCATATAAACCCCACTATAAAGTCATGTTAATACTTGAATGCCTTAAGAGACCAGTCCAGTAGCGCTAAGCGTAAATTCAGTGTCTTTAAAAGTCGGGATTAGACGGTGTAATGAATGTGCATCCTTCTTTTCCTTTTGGCAAGACAGGAATTCTGATGCTATCACCTCCACAGGAAGACATAAACTACCCAGAACTTCACAGAAATGTGAATACATACAGGAAGAAAGAACATACGCAGGATACAGTTAACAGTATGCGTTCATCAGAATCCTTATGGTGTTATGGAAAATAACCTTTTTACAATTTGTCAAAAAGAATCAGTGTAGTCTGTGGTATGTTTCAGTGCTTTTAAGTGGAGGACTTTAGATGATTTAAAGGTCCCCTATTATACTGTTTTTCATCAATATATCACAGGTCTCAGATATATCCAGAACCTGTCTCTGATTGGCTGAAACACCAAACAGATCATTGCAGCATTACCCATAATCCCCTCTGTTTCAGCCCTGTTTCCAAAGTGCTGATTCTCTGTCTGTTACTTTAGATGAAAATAAGGAGCCCCTCCCCACGCCCCTCTGAGAGAGATTTGGTTACAAAGAACTCAATGGTGCTCTAGGAGGAGATTCAGGTGATAAGGTGGGGGGGGGGACACATGTTACACAGAGGGGACACATGTTGATGAAGAAGAGACATGAAGAAGAGGGGACACATGTTGATGTAGAAGAGACATGAAGAAGAGGGGACACATGTTGATGTAGAAGAGACATGAAGAAGAGGGGACACTGTTGATGAAGAAGAGACATGAAGAAGAGGGGGAACATGTTGATGTAGAAGAGACAGGAAGAAGAGGGGGACACATGTTGATGAAGAAGAGACATGAAGACGAGGGGACACATGTTGATGTAGAAGAGACATGAAGAAGAGGGGACACATGTTGATGAAGAAGAGACATGAAGAAGAGGGGACACATGTTGATGAAGAAGAGACATGAAGAAGAGGGGACACATGTTGATGTAGAAGAGACATGAAGAAGAGGGGACACATGTTGATGTAGAAGAGACATGAAGAAGAGGGGACACATGTTTGATGAAGAAGAGACATGAAGAAGAGGGACACATGTTGATGAAGAAGAGACATGAAGAAGAGGGTGACACATGTTTGATGAAGAAGAGACATGAAGAAGAGGGGACACATGTTGATGAAGAAGAGACATGAAGAAGAGGGACACATGGTGATGTAGAAGAGACATAAGAAGAGGGGACACATGTTGATGGTAGAAGAACATGAGAATAGGGACACATGTTGATGTAGAAGAGACATGAAGAAGAGGGGACACATGGTGATGTAGAAGAGACATGAAGAAGAGGGTGACACATGTTGATGAAGAAGAGACATGGAGAAGAGGGGACACATGTTGATGTAGAAGAGACATGAAGAAGAGGGGACACATGTTGATGAAGAAGAGACATGAAGAAGAGGGGACACATGTTGATGGTAGAAGAGACATGAAGAAGAAGGGGACACATGGTGATGTAGAAGAGACATGAAGAAGAGGGGACACATGTTGATGAAGAAGAGACATGAAGAAGAGGGGACACATGGTGATGTAGAACAGACATGAAGAAGAGGGGACACATGTTGATGTAGAAGAGACATGAAGAAGAGGGGACACATGGTGATGTAGAAGAGACATGAAGAAGAGGGGACACATGGTGATGTACTAGAGACATGAAGAAGAGGGGACACATGGTGATGTAGAAGAGACATGAAGAAGAGGGGACACATGGTGATGTACTAGAGACATGAAGAAGAGGGGACACATGGTGATGAAGAAGAGACATGAAGAAGAGGGGACAAATGTTGATGTAGAAGAGACATGAAGAAGAGGGGACACATGGTGATGTAGAAGAGACATGAAGAAGAGGGGACACATGGTGATGAAGAAGAGACATGAAGAAGAGGGGACACATGTTGATGAAGAAGAGACATGAAGAAGAGGGGACACATGGTGATGTAGAAGAGACATGAAGAAGAGGGGACACATGTTGATGAAGAAGAGACATGAAGAAGAGGGGACAGATGGTGATGTAGAAGAGACATGAAGAAGAGGGGACACATGTTGATGAAGAAGAGACATGAAGAAGAGGGGACACATGTTGATGTAGAAGAGACATGAAGAAGAGGGACACATGTTGATGTAGAAGAGACATGAAGAAGAGGGGACACATGGTGATTGTAGAAGAGACATGAAGAAGAGGGGACACATGTTGATGAAGAAGAGACATGAAGAAGAGGGGACACATGTTGATGAAGAAGAGACATGAAGAAGAGGGGACACATGTTGAGGTAGAAGAGACATGAAGAAGAGGGGACACATGTTGATGTAGAAGAGACATGAAGAAGAGGGGACACATGTTGATGAAGAAGAGACATGAAGAAGAGGGGACACATGTTGATGTAGAAGAGACATGAAGAAGAGGGGACACATGTTGATGAAGAAGAGACATGAAGAAGAGGGGACACATGTTGATGTAGAAGAGACATGAAGAAGAGGGGACACATGTTGATGAAGAAGAGACATGAAGAAGAGGGGACACATGTTGATGTAGAAGAGACATGAAGAAGAGGGGACACATGTTGATGAGAGAAGAGACATGAAGAAGAGGGGACACATGTTGATGAAGAAGAGACATGAAGAAGAGGGGACACATGTTGATGTAGAAGAGACATGAAGAAGAGGGGACACATGTTGATGTAGAAGAGACATGAAGAAGAGGGGACACATGTTGATGAAGAAGAGACATGAAGAAGAGGGGACACATGTTGATGTAGAAGAGACATGAAGAAGAGGGGACACATGTTGATGAAGAAGAGACATGAAGAAGAGGGGACAGATGGTGATGTAGAAGAGACATGAAGAAGAGGGGACAATGTTGATGGAGAAGAGACATGAAGAAGAGGGGACACATGGTTGATGAAGAAGAGACAATTGAAGAAGAGGAGGGGACACATGTTGATTGTAGAAGAGACATGAAGAAGAGGGGACACATGGTGAGAAGAAGAGACATGAAGAAGAGGGGGACACATGTGATGTAGAAGAGACATGAAGAAGAGGGGACACATGGTTTGATGAAGAAAGAGACATGAAGAAGGAGGGGACACATGTTGATGTAGAAGAGACATGAAGAAGAGGGGACACATGTTGATGAGAAGAGACATGAAGAAGAGGGGACCCATGGTTGATGAAGAAGAGACATGAAGAAGAGGGGACACATGTTGATGTAGAAGAGACATGACGAAGAGGGGGGACAATGGTGATGAGAAGAGACATGAAGAAGAGGGGACACATGTTGATGTAGAAGAGACATGAAGAAGAGGGGGACACATGGTGATGAAGAGAGACATGAAGAAGAGGGGACACATGTTGATGTAGAAGAGACATGAAGAAGAGGGGACACATGGTGATGTAGAAGAGACATGAAGAAGAGGGACACATGTTGATAACGATTGAAGAAGAGGGGACACATGTTGATGTAGAAGAGACATGAAGAAGAGGGGACACATGGTGATGTAGAAGAGACATGAAGAAGAGGGGACACATGTTGATGTAGAAGAGACATGAAGAAGAGGGGACACATGTTGATGTAGAAGAGACATGAAGAAGAGGGGACACATGTTGATGTAGAAGAGACATGAAGAAGAGGGGACACATGTTGATGTAGAAGAGACATGAAGAAGAGGGGACACATGTTGATGTAGAAGAGACATGAAGAAGAGGGGACACATGTTGATGTAGAAGGTGACCTTTAATGGGAGAGTCAGGATTAGACGTTGTAATGAATGTGCATAACTCAAGTTTCCTTCGGTTCCTGCAGGTTCTCCAGATCGTTTTCGTGTCGACTCCCAGTCTGATCTACATGGGTCACGCCATGCACACCGTCCGCCAAGAGGAGAAGAGGAGGAGCAGGGAGGAAGAGGAGGGAGAGGGGGGAGGAAGAGAGGAGGATCCCGGAGGAGGGGAAGAAACAGGGAAGGAGAAACAGGGAAGGAAAGGAGACAAGGAGAGAGGAAAGGAGAAGAGTTTAGGTCTGTCTGCGGGTCGAGTTCATCTGAGAGGAGCGCTGCTGCAGACTTACATCCTGAGCATCCTGATCCGCAGCATCATGGAGGTAAAGCATTATAAACATTACACACACTGGATATGCTATTTGGTTCTATATTAACGTGACCAGAGCCCAGTCTGCTCCGATTGGTCAGCTGGCCGGCTCTGTTGTGATTGGTCAACCGCTTAGAGATGTCCCGCCCCTTAGCCTATCACGTACAATGTGTTGGAGCGCTAGCCAATAGGAGCGTGAGTGTTCCATAGTGATGTCACTATGTTCCGGAAGTAAACAAAGGAGTCCGATGAGGCGTTTCAACAGGAAAACAGGGATTTTAGCCTTTGCAGACCATTTACATGCACTAAAACCTGTAGAACACACGGGAAGAAGGGCCTCTTTAATGTGTGTTTCTGTAGTGACTGTGGTTGTGTCTCCGTGCAGGTGGTGTTTCTCATCCTGCAGTACTTCATGTATGGAGTCTTCCTCCATTCTCTGTACATCTGCAAGGTAACAAATACAAATCATTTTGAGATGAAAACACAACAATATATCAGAAAGCACAACGACATTTCAGGAAAGAAACAAGTCCATAAAGACAAGAATACTTTAGAAAAAACATACATTTCAGAAAAACATAACATATTTGGAAACAACATTTCAGAAAAGAAAATACTAGAAAACAGAGCAAAGTTTTAGGAAAATCCAACATTTCAGAGAAGATAACGAGACTTGTGTTTTGGAAAATGGTTTTGTTGTGATTTTTTTTAAATTTCCGTTTGTTTCTAAAATGTTTTATTTTCTGAAATGTTGCGTTTGTGTTGTTTTTTCACGTTATGTTATGTTTCCATGTTTTGTCCTGCAGGGACGGCGTATATAACATATAAACTCTATATGTATACCCTCCCACCCTCTCTCTGTTCCTCAGGCCTCGCCCTGCCCTCACCCGGTGAACTGCTACGTGTCCAGACCCACGGAGAAGAACGTGTTCATCGTGTTCATGATGACGGTGTCGGGCGTCTCTCTGGCTCTCAGCGTGTTGGAGCTGCACCACCTGGCCTGGAGGCACTGCTGCAGGTACCCCAAATATTACTAAATACCAGAGACGACAAAGTACACACATCCTTTACTCAAGTAGAAGAACAGATACTCGTGTTTAAAAATACTCTGGTGAAAGTAGAAGTTCTGACTAAACTTCTTTACTCAAGTCAAAGTAAAGAGGCTTTGAAATGTACTTCAGTAAAAAGTACCCATAACTAGCAGCTGTTTTAAAGAGTACCTGACCTCCCTTTATATTAATAGAACAATAATGTCATTGTTAGCTAATGAATGTTTCCATGCTGAACAACGGCAACATGACAACGTTTTCATTGGTCCCTCTTCTTTAGAGAAGACCAGGAAATGATGGATACACGGATCGTGTTCAAATCAATAGGCACGCAATGACTCTAAATAATAATGATCACGCCACCAAACACACATTCAAACTAAAGGAACCAGCCTGTTTGGGAAAATGAGAGAAAGTAGAAAGTACAGGTATTTGGGTTCAACATGTAAGAAGTAGAAGTACAGGTATTTGGTTCAACATGTAAGAAGTAGAAAGTACAGGTATTGTGTTCACATGTAAGAAGTAGAAAGTACAGGTATTTGTGTTCAACATGTGAGAAGTAGAAAGTACAGGTATTTGTGTTCAAACATGTAAGAAGTAGAAAGTACAGGTATTTGGGTTCAACATGTAAGAAGTAGAAAGTACAGGTATTTGTGTTCAACATGTTAGAAGTAGAAAGTACAGGTATTTGTGTTCAACATGTAAGAAGTAGAAAGTACAGGTATTTGTGTTCAACATGTAAGAAGTAGAAAGTACAGGTATTTGGGTTCAACATGTGAGAAGTAGAAAGTACAGGTATTTGTGTTCAACATGTAAGAAGTAGAAAGTACAGGTATTTGGGTTCAACATGTAAGAAGTAGAAAGTACAGGTATTTGTGTTCAACATGTAAGAAGTAGAAAGTACAGGTATTTGTGTTCAAAGTGTAAGAAGTAGAAAGTACAGGTATTTGTGTTCAACATGTAAGAAGTAGAAAGTACAGGTATTTGTGTTCAAAGTGTAAGAAGTAGAAAGTACAGGTATTTGTGTTCAAAGTGTAAGAAGTAGAAAGTACAGGTATTTGTGTTCAAAGTGTAAGAAGTAGAAAGTACAGGTATTTGAGTTCAAAATGTAAGAAGTCAAAGTCTTCAGAAAAATAAGTAGTGGAGCAAAGTACTGATACCAGAAACATGTACTTAAGTACAGTAACGAAGTATTTGTACTCCACTACTTCCCACCTCTGGTAAATGCTCTGTGTTTTATTGAATGATTCCTTCTTCAGAGTGTCCTTGGTAACTCATTGTGTTTGCTTCTGACTCTCAAGTCTTAGAGGTTATTTAAAACAAAGAGTAGAATATTGCAGCTCCTTTTATGTATTCCTTAGTATAATTTAAAGGCTTATATCACCCTTCAGATAACATCTATTCTCAGAGACTTTAAAGCGGCTACGTTTCTAAAAGAGTCTGAATGATCAGGTCTGAGTGCTGATTTTCCAACTTGATCAAAACTCCAAGGGCGTTTGAAGAGAGATTTGTTACCAGTGCATAATAACAAGTGTATCCGCAACCATGATTCCGATTTGCCCCAAATCTTAAGAGGTTATTCATCGGCTAATGCTCCACTTCTTCACCAAGTTTCATGGAAATCGGGAAAACAGTTTGTCCGTGATCCTGCTGACAAACAAACAAACAAAGTTGAAAACATGACCCTTTTGGCGGAAAATGAAAAGCTGCTTTTATAAAGGGACGATATGAATCCTACAAACGTCTTTATGAAACTTCACTGATTTCACACTTAAAGGTCAGTTTACCCATCATGAACTGGGGAAGACATTTTATAATCAATATGATCTTGAAGTCTTTGGAAAAAGATCTGTTGATGTGATCAGACTCAGATTGGGTTTTGTGAGAACATGAGAACAGAAACAGCCTGTTTTAAAGCTGCGGGCCCAGATATTAAAAACAAGAGATCCTGTTAGTTTCCGAGTAGATTGTTTTTTTAAAGTGAAAGTAGTGTAGTGTCCGTGGGAAGAAAGGCTCTTTGTGCACGTCTTGTAGAACTGGAGATAAACAAAGGTCTCTTTTCACCCACACCGAAGATCCTGCATTGATTTGAAGCATTCAGTGATTATTTGGTTTAACTTCATGTCGTTAAACAAAGGGCAAACTGAGCCTCAAACACCCTGAGGCCAAAACATGACTTCTTCTGCAAAGGAAAATCCATCTTTGTGTAATAAAAAGCTTCTTTCTACAAGACCACTGCTTCACAACCTCTGACTGGAGTTCAATATGACTTTCAAATCCACGGTCTCGGTACGTTTAGATTTAGAAAGATAGCGTGGTTCTTTTTTTTCTATTCGCCAGCGGGGTGTTTACTGACGTATTTCATACCGCAGATCTAAAATCTCTTCAGCTTGTGTTAACCACAGACCTCTGTCATGGTTTTGGATTTGTTGTTTTCTTTTTCCACCTTTTTATTTTGAAATGTTTTCCTCCTTGTGTCTTGTCTGGTCCTACTTCCTGTGTTTGCCTCCCTGTCGTTAGTTTCCCTGGTGTGTCTGATTGTCTGATTGTGTTCACCTGTTGCCCTTGTGTTTCTGCCTCCCCTGCCCAGCTGTGTCTTGTCCTGTGATTACCCTTCAGTGTATTTAGTCTTGTCTTCCCCTGTGCTCCTTGTCTGTTCGTCGTCTCTCCTTGTCTATGTTACCTGCCCGTCTCTTGATGTCCATGCTCTTGTCCATGCTACCTGTCACGCTCCATGTTTGTTCCTGAGGTTTTTTGCATTTGGGTCCTATTTTTCCCCACCCCTGACAATTTCAGGCTAACAACCAAAAACACATTCAGATAACCATTTGTCCAGGGGGGTATACTACGAATCTAGATTTTTGTTTAGCAAGCTAACTTCAGGGGTTTCCGGTCCTACGAAGCTGCTTCACTTTTTAGCAGGCTAGATAACTTATTCTGAACGGCTAGCCTCCGGAGCAGGATAGGTTCCAGGATAAAAGCACCGCCTGCTGACCAATCAGAGCTCAGTGTGCGGAGTTTAAAGCGATCAATTCATATGACAGGAGGAGAAAGGAAATACAGTTTAAACTGCCGTTGCAGGAAAGACGGCCGGACAAAATCACCGACTGTGTGAACGTGAACATTAATAGAATATCCCCTCCCATCTTCAGAGCAATCTGACTATTATAACATTAGCGTTAAGAAAGCTTACTTAAATATCTGCCACGACATAAGTAACCGGATCAGAGTAACATTAAGTACAGTCCACGTATCCACTGTGAGTGCAGACGTCGATGTGTGCCATTATCATTCATATCATATCACATCATAATGTATCATATATTTCCTTATCTGAGTCAGCTGAGCCGTATCTGGCCGTGCAACACTCACAGTGTCACATACTGTATGCAGAAGTATTATTTTAAGCAACACATTAAGTTGACGAAACACTCGAGTCAAATGTAATTAAAGTCAGATCGTGTCTTAGACGGGGCAGTGATATCATAAACCTGTTAATGTACGCATTCAAACACTTTCTCTGTTACCAGCTGTATTCACCTTGCAGGTGCAGCTATGTGGCTTTGATCCTGGATAAAGTGTTTAAGTCATGGATGTTTAAAGTTTAACGTCTTCATATTTGTCTAATATTAAAGTTCACTTTTCATTCAGGAAGTATGACGCTGCGCTGTCAGTACGCTTGTCCATGTTTGAGATTGGTCGAATGCTCCAAATACCACCCCTTTTATGTGAACGCGCACCTAACTAGATAGGACACGGCTGGCTTGAGCGATCGAGTTGATAGCCAGCGTCGTAGTACTGTTTAGCGAGAGCGTTTTTTTTTGGATTTAGTCAACCGGATAACTCAAACATATCCAGGATATGTTGAACTAGATTCGTAGTATACCCCCCAGGTCTCTTCATTCAGATAACCATTTGTCCAGGTCTCTTCTTGTGAAGCATTCAGATAACCATTTGTCCAGGTCTCTTCTTGTGAAGCATTCAGATATCTTGATCTTTCACATTGTGTTGGTTATTGAGATTTCTTCGCAGTGAGATTGTACGATATAATCATTATTACCTTAGCACAGTTACGGTCAGATATCCGACAACTTTTAAACTGAGTTGAAGTAAACCTTTTCAAAAAATCTGTCCAGCGTCCTCTCAAACTTCTAAATCCACCCAAAATTCATCAAAATCAGTCCATAGAGAGTTCAAATATGGTCACTTTCTGGTTAAAACTGCTTTATGATCCTGAAAATGTCAGAAATGGACTCAGTATCCTCAATTTACCTAAAAAAACACTCCAAAATTGTCCAAAGCAGCCAAGACATTTCCCCACATATGCTAATTAACGCAACTTATGCTAATTGTGTCCCAACTATATAACAATTTCTATCATAACACTTTTGGGGTCTCGACATCGTCTCAAATCATGTTAACTTTTCTAATTCTCTCTCCAGGAGTTACCTGTCGAACCGCCGTGCCGCCGCTTCAGGTAAAGCGTCTCTCGCCCGGCAGCTCTCTCTCCCTCTCTCTCCTCCCCCCCCCCCTCCACTCCCCCTCCAGACTTCAGCCAGTGTGTGATTGGCTCGTCTCTCTTCCTGCCCCTCCCCTTCCCAAACCACCACCTGGCTGACCAACAGAACTCTGAGAACATGGCGACTGAGAAGCACAAAATGGCCGAAGTGAACATGCTGCAGATGAGCTGCTTCTCTCAGAACCAGAATACCTTCATTACTCCTGGCTGGCAGGAAGCTGGGAACAATCAGATCCAAGATGGAGGATACCTGAGGACAGACACTACCTCCTATCCCCCATCAGGGAGGGACGTCAGCGGCGCTCAGAGCCAAAATGGCGGTGCAGGCGGTTTGATGAAGTGTCCGAACGGAGGAATCTGTCAGAAGGACAAACGCAGATTCAGCAAAACAAGTGGAACGAGCAGCCGCACGAGAACAGACGACCTCTCGGTGTAAATGGAGAATATTAAACTACACATAACGGCTGAATAAACAAAGGTCATACAACTGGAGGAATCGGGGCTTAAACTGAAACACTTTTCTCAGCCTCAAAAATGACTTTAATTTCCATATTTTTCTCCAAACTTCGACACATTTTCTGCTCCGTAAACTTGGACATATTTGGACTTGAACATTCAACTACAGACAACTGCAGAATAAACTGGGATATATTTGACCTTTAATGCATCAAATCAAAGGTCATTGAATACAGCTGGAGGAATCAGGACTCACTCTGCCGGTCAAAAATGACTCTCTTATTCCAAAGAACTGTCTTTTTCATTTCCATATTGTTCTCCGAACTCAGACACGTTTTCCGAGCACTACAAATATTTGTTCTTCCACAAATTCTTTAAACAATACAATTTAGCATTTTAGGAGGTCTTTTGTTTGCCTTTTTAAAGAGTCCCTATTCCTCTTTCTGTGGTATTCCCTCTCCTGTAGTGTGCTCTATATGTTTTAATGCATGTAAATGGTCTGCAAAGGCTAACTGTCTTTTTTTTTACTGTAACAGAAACAAATTCTTGCAGAAATACTGAATCTTCATCTGCAATGTGAACGTGTGTCGGCAGGTTTGAGCTGATGACTGGTTGCAAATCACTCAAAAGAAGGTGGCAAACATGTCTCTTTAAAATATGCTTCATGACAAATGTTCCTTCTGAAGATAAGCAACTAACGGGATGAAAAAAGAAGGTTCAAGAGCTGTGCATCCTACCACAAAGCAGCCGTCTGTCTAATGGAAAGCTTTTCAACTTGTTCACCAGTAAAGTGCCTCAAACTACTTTCTTATATTTCTGTGTTTCCAAAGAGCACCAACTTGAGGAAAGTCTTCCAAGCCGACTTTAATGTTTGTTATTTAGTGCCTGTTCTCTACGTCTGACTGATTTACGGACCCCTGAACTGAACATCTGTAAAAGTCACAACACTGGAGGGCGTTTGGGAACTTTTCACCCTTTAAAGCTCAAATATGATCCTGTTTCTCATCAATATCTCACAGGTCTCAGATACAGAACCTGTCTCTGAAGTGTTTGGCTGAAACTCCGTAAATGTCCTGTAATTATTGTTACTTCTAGGTTTGTTTACTTTATCGTCATTTTCACTGTGTTTTAAAGAGTCTAAACCTGTTTTATTTTGGGTTTCTTCAATTGTATTTCTTGTTTTATCAGCAGCAGTGATTGTTTTTCTACTGATACAGATGTGTGTCCAATCACTGGAGTGCACAAAATGCCTCTTTAAAGGAGGATTTTTCGTATTATTCTTAGTATTCCTTCACATTTCAAAGTTAGGCTATGTTCAAACTTGTCATATTGTGTTTGTAATTTGTTGTTTTGGATTTCTGCACCGTATTATTGTGATATATCATTAAAGGTCACCTATCATGCTATTTTTAGGCAATAGCATAGGTCTCAGATATATACAAATATATAAAAAACATGTCTATGAAGTGTTTTGCTCCAAATACCAAACAGATCACCCATTCTAGCCATGCCTCATATCCCTCTATTTCACTTCCTGTTTCAAAAGTGCTGATTCTGGGTATAAAGCTTCTTTTTTTTTATTTACTGAAAAAAATAAGAGGGGGCGGAGCTTATGCCGGCTCATGCGGGACCTGGCAGGATACTGTCTAAAATGCTGCGGTGATGAAACGCAAGGATTATTAGATCAAGGATTCTTTCTGAAACAGTATGGAGCTCAAAGGCTTTCTCTCTTGCCGGTTATACCACAAGGTGAGTTCCTTTTTATTTCCTGCTTCTTCACACACATGCTCTCCAGTACAGGTTAGCTCTGAGTGTTAGCGATGCTAATGTAAACAAAGACTATTATGTCCAAAACACGTCGGGAATTGTTTCTGATACAGCAACGTTTCTGATAGGCCGTGGGTCCCCGTTTTTAGAGATTTGGGTACGGAGGAAAAGAGAGAGGGTTTTATTTTCTGACGCTGCGTGAGTTCCCCGACACACCGGGGACACGTAGTTATGTATAAAAGACATCAAAAAGTGCATGTTGCATGATAGGTCCCCTTTAAGGGCTATGAAAACATCTGGACTCAAACACAATCTTTACAATCTTCGCGTAAGCTGTGTGTTTTAGGGTCAGGGTTCAAATATCATTAAAGTTACTGATATCAATGATGAATCAAAAGTGTTTCCCATCTTGTAGTTTTGTATTTATTATTCCACTTTAATACTGTGACTAGTGTAACGGCCCGTCCACACAGCGGCGTGCGTTGTCGCTTGCCGGCGGGCATGTCTGAAGCTAGACCAACAACCAATCACCTGAATCTCCCGCCCCGGACACACAAGCAGCGGTTTGATTGGCTAGAGCTTGTACTGGCATATAATTTGATTGGCTGACGCTTCCGTCGAAGCTTCAAAAGTTGAACATTGCTCAACTTTTGCAGCGACAATGCAGTTCGGCGAAGCGTGACGTCACCCCATTCAAAGTGAATGGGCTGAAGCGTTGAAGCTTCAACGCACGCCGCTGTGTGGACGGGCCGTGAGAGATTAAACTTTGTAAAACCTGCTAAAGCCTGTCTCTTATTGTCGAACAAATGCAGGTTTGTTTATCAGATTGAGACCATAAGAGGAACCCTTTAGCGTTTACGTTTTCATTCATGGAGATAACCAACATGTTGACCCTGTTATAACAAAGCACGTCGTTTCTTTATAAAGATGATTATCAATCAGATGTGAGAGCAACCTGCTGAGGTAGAAGATGGATGGAGTTAATGAGGGTGAAGAAAAGTCTAGTTTTCAACAGAAATACAAGGATTTAAGAAAATCAATAAATAACATTGATATGGTTTGTTTTTTAACGTTTGGAGAGACTCTTCGTGTTGCTAGTGTGTCATGTGACCCAGGTTAAATATATCTGTTTTGGCACAAACAATAAACAAAAGTGCTGAAAACATTTGGAAGTAATGCACCTACCTTTTGTATTTATATAACTTTATCATCGATATCCTGTGAGTATCTGATTATAGATCTGAATCCTTTCCCTTTGTCTCGTCTAAAAATATTAAATATTAGAGTTTGTATGATTGGTTGCTGAGAAAATGCTGGATACTTTAAGGAAGAGGCTCTCTGGGATTTAAAAATAACGTCTGCCCATTTCCCACGGCTCGTTTCCAGGAATGTTTCTCTGTTTTTCTTTCCCTCTTTCCATCTCCTCTCCCAGCTGTGCCATGTTTACACCACACATATATATATAGATATATATATATATCTATATATATATCTATATATATATATATATCTATATATATATATGAAGCTCATTAAATCACCTGATGATGTCACTCAGGTAAAAAGACAAAAGGAAATAAAGAAATGCAAATATGTGTGTGTGTGTGTGTGTGTGTGTGTGTGTGTGTGTGTGTGTGTGTGTGTGTGTGTGTGTGTGTGTGTGTGTGTGTGTGTGTTGTGTGTGTGTGTGTGTGTGTCTAACTAACGCAAATATGGCAAATATTTTTTTTTCAGATCAAAAATCTTTTTATTAAGTTTTAAAAATGCACAACCAGGGTTTGTCCTTTAGGAATGGAAAGCAAAATATAAGCATATATAAATGAGACTATAGTTTGCACTGATTATATGTACAAAGAGAGAAAGAAACAACACCAAAACAACAACAAACAATAACAACGACTAAAGTAACCCCTCACAGCCTCAAACAAACCAATATTCACCAGAAATGTTATTAAATTAATATATAGGCATGTAATACATATATACACACACACACACACACACACACACACACACACACACACACACACACACACACACACACACACACACACACACATGCTGAAGATAAACTGAATAATAATAACAGATGTTGTACCCAGTGTGGAATGCATTCAAACGAAGTATAAAATGTGACTTTTTTGAAATGGAAAAGCTCAAAGTGAAAGGCATAAAGGAAAATGTACTGGAGAATTGGAGATGAGAAATGCAGTTAAGTAAACAATGTGAAGCAGAGTGTGTAATCACTGAAACTACTTCAAGTCTCTCCTGTGGAAGTGCTGCCCTCTTGTGACCGAACACCGGACAAAACACCACATACATTGTGATTTGCTCATAGAGTTGTATTTTTGCACCACCTTCTCAGAAACTAGTAAAACAAGGAGTCATGAAAACATGAGTACTAGTATTTTATGTTAATGTGTACAAAGTGCATCAATAACAAAGTCAAATCAAATTAAATTAAATTAAAAATAAAGACAGTAAAAGAATGACGTGGTGGGTTCCTGCGTATATTAGGGTCAGGGTCAGGGTCACAAGAGGACAGGGAGATATTGTTAAAACATTCATTCAAACTCAACACAGGAAGTGACCGTCCATTTTCTACACGAACCAGAAAACCCAGGTTTCCTGAACATGTCCGTTAGAAAAACCTCGACTTAAGTCTCTGGTTCTCTCTAACTTCGCACGAGTTCTGTTTCTCATTTCCATTTTTTCCAGCACAATCACCACAGCCTCGTTATTTCCATGAGATAAGAGAGGGAGTTGAACCTCTGACCTTCAGGTTGGTAGACATCCATTGAGCGAAAGCACCTGCACAGGTTTCATTAAGATCATAACAGGTGGGCTTCTAAGTTCAAGGATCCTCATCTGTCAGTATTTAGCTTTTTAAGGAAAAAACCTGTTACAATATCTCAACGTGGAACTAAAGAAGTGGGAATGCAGTGTTTCATCAGCTACAGTACAAGCTTTCTGGTTCATTTGGGAAGCTGAGCAGCGTAACGAGGTCCAGATAAGAAGCTGGAGTTGTCAGAGGAAGAGAAAGAAAGTCTTATAGCAAAGCAGACACGTGAAGCTCAGCGCAAGTTCAACCAGGAAGACCGTCTTTCCTCATTCATTTACTATGTCCATGTTACTACTCTCTCTCCTCTCTATAAGTGATCGGGGGCGTCACTCCCCAGCTTAACCAATCACTTCGCTCTATTCTCAAAAGCCTATCATATCGCTCTGCTAAACCTTTTAAATCTGCTCTCCCCCCTCTGACAGCTGTCATTTCAGGTGACTCGACGCAACCCTCCTCCCCCCCTTTTCACCTCCTGTCCCTCTGAATCCAGGGTCAAGCTAAGCCCCTCCCCTTCAGACTGACCCCAACTATCCATTCACCACCACCAGGGTCAAGCTAAGCCCCTCCCCTTCAGACTGACCCCAACTATCCATTCACCACCACCAGGGTCAAGCTAAGCCCCTCCCCTTCAGACCGACCCCAACCATCCATTCACCACCACCAGGGTCAAGCTAAGCCCCTCCCCTTCAGACCGACCCCAACTATCCATTCACCACCACCAGGGTCAAGCTAAGCCCCTCCCCTTCAGACCGACCCCAACCATCCATTCACCACCACCAGGGTAAAGCTAAGCCACTCCCCTTCAGGCCGACCCCAACTACCCATTCACCACCACCAGGGTCAAGCTAAGCCCCTCCCCTTCAGACCGAACCCAACTATCCATTCACCACCACCAGGGACAAGCTAAGCCACTCCCCTTCAGACCGACCCCAACTATCCATTCACCACCACCAGGGTCAAGCTAAGCCCCTCCCCTTCAGACCGACCCCCAACCATCCATTCACCACCACCAGGGTCAAGCTAAGCCACTCCCCTTCAGGCCGACCCCAACTACCCATTCACCACCACCAGGATCAAGCTAAGCCCCTCCCCTTCAGACTGAACCCAACTATCCATTCACCACCACCAGGGACAAGCTAAGCCACTCCCCTTCAGACCGACCCCAACTATCCATTCACCACCACCAGGGTCAAGCTAAGCCCCTCCCCTTCAGACCGACCCCAACCATCCATTCACCACCACCAGGGTCAAGCTAAGCCCCTCCCCTTCAGACCGACCCCAACTATCCATTCACCACCACCAGGGTCAAGCTAAGCCCCTCCCCTTCAGACCGACCCCAACCATCCATTCACCACCACCATGGGTCAAGCTAAGCCACTCCCCTTCAGGCCGACCCCAACTACCCATTCACCACCACCAGGGTCAAGCTAAGCCCCTCCCCTTCAGACCGAACCCAACTATCCATTCACCACCACCAGGGACAAGCTAAGCCACTCCCCTTCAGACCGACCCCAACTATCCATTCACCACCACCAGGGTCAAGCTAAGCCCCTCCCCTTCAGACCGACCCCAACCATCCATTCACCACCACCAGGGTCAAGCTAAGCCCCTCCCCTTCAGACCGACCCCAACCATCCATTCACCACCACCAGGGTCAAGCTAAGCCACTCCCCTTCAGACCGACCCCAACTACCCATTCACCACCACCAGGGTCAAGCTAAGCCCCTCCCCTTCAGACCAAACCCAACTATCCTTTCACCACCACCAGGGTCAAGCTAAGCCACTCCCCTTCAGACCGACCCCAACCATCCATTCACCACCACCAGGGT